CAGTCTTTCTTATTTTTGGGACCTTTCCTATTGAGACGGGCAATAGTATACTAAACTCGCACACACTACACGGATGCTAGGACTCAACCCCAGAACCTTTCCTCAGAGCAATTGGTTCCTTTGCACTCATGTCAGTCTTAGAATAGCAATGAACCTTTACAGAAGACAGTTGATATAAATAAATTCAAGATTACTTCAAACTGACAGGCTTAGTAAATCAAATATGTATATAATTTTTTTTTTGATATTTCAGTCCAAAAGTTTGAAGGACAAACGATTTTTCATTTTATATAAGAAACTGGAATGTTATAAAATGATGTTGTAAATAGATCTTACAAGATCTTTGAGAGATGCCTAGACAAGTTTACTATATGTTTTAAAGGGCCTGTCTCATTATTATTAATTATGAATGGGGAATCTGTTTATTGCTATTAATGTTCTACTGGGAGTCTAAGAGTTTGTCTAGATGTTATTAATGTTGCCTGGGAACTGGTTATTAACGCCGTATGGCAACTCTGAAGGATCCTTCTGGAAAGGTCTAGGGTAATTAATGTTGTATTATTAGAGGGATAAGAATTGTGGTCAGAGGACTCAACCTAGAAGAATTTGTATGGAAGTATTATCAGTTTGTGAAAATTCCTAAAGGTTCTCCTTGATTTCACTTTAGAAATCTAAGCTCCAACGATGTTTGGAGTTCTCACCTAGCTGTAATGGTTTGATGCACACCTATTAGCTTGGGTTACTTCATATGTTTGGCTCTATTTACATCATAAAAGAAAGAAAAAAAAAGAGTATAAAACAAGATGGATATCATCAGAAACAGCAAAAACCAAGGACAGCCAATGAGAAAAAAGAAATAAAACAGGCATCAAAAGCCAAACAAGGAAAACCTAACCCACGAGCTTATGAGAAGAAAACAGACCAATCCAGAAGGATCAAGGGGGTAATCCTTTAACTGTTTAGAGATGTAAGCCCAAAGACAAGCAAAATCCGATTCTATATCAAAGTGAAGTCACCTAATTCTCTCTCTGATAAAAGATTCTTTTGTTTCTTTCCACCACACTACCAAAAAGAGGCTGAAACAGCACAATTCCAAGAGATAGTTCAATAGTTAACTCTATCACCCAAATGATACATTTATCACTAACTCCATACTCTAATTCAGCAAAAGACAATAAAAAGATTGTCTCATGTTATCTATCAGAAGTAAGGGTGCCTGGCTCAATGGCAAGCCAAATCTTTTATATTTTGTAACTTTTCCATACAGTTATGATATAAGAAGATTTTTTCTTTGTTGTATTGGGTGGGTTATAGGACAAACAAGCCCCCTTTTTCACATTGTTTCCATTATCATCAGAAACTATAGTCCGAGGATTCAAAAAAGTCATCTTGCAAAAGCATGTCATGAGAAGAAATACAAGTTGCTTGATAGTAATAAGCTCATGTAGAAGCAGTGTAAATCGCTCTTGACAATATACGCCACAAAATTGAATATGATAACTTAAGTCTAAGAACCAAAACTCACTCGGTTATTTTTGTGGTGATATTCAGCTTCTATTCCAGCTGCTGGATCCATCTGTAATTTAAAGAAATGAACTTCATCTTTAATAAAAAGTTACATTGAAAATGAAAACCTCATAATATCAGAAGGGACAAGAGTGAGGGAGAGCACACATACACACACAAACAGCATATTAGTTGGACATTGAGAAGCAAAGAGTGCTTACATCGTCAGCCAGGGGCTTCCAGTAATCAGTGATGGCAGGTGTTCGAACACGTTGAGGATCAGTTAAAGCATTCTGGACATGTCAAAAGTCTCTTGAGAAAAAATAATAGCAAATTTATTCAAATTAATTTTGTAGTTAACATGATTGAAAGGAAAATCTTACTATATAGTTTCATGTTTCTCCCTCACTGACTCGATATGTAATCTTTTTTCTTCTTTATAATAAGAGTTGAACAGAAAAACGTGAAAAATGAACCTCTACTACTGTTTCCAAATTCAATTTATAAGTTTTCTGTGAGTTATCCATTTCTGTCCAATTTGTAGCGAAGAAAACCAAAGAGAGGAAGTATATAGAAACATGCTATCTTTAAAACCACATATTTGGTCCGCCCTAGTTGATTTTTTTCCCATTTCATTTCCAGAATGAATCTGAACTACATTTGCTAAGTTGCAACCTAAAAAATATGTTTCGTGCCACTAACTTTCTGCCTTTATGGTGTTACACATCTGCAACTGTGCAGAGTGCGCTAATTGATAGTATATAATGCCATAATTTACACATCGATTCTTCATTCTTTTACGAGTGTAAATGTACTAATTCAGAAAGGAAATTTGGTCAGAAGAATCAGCAAGTTGCTATAATATATATAACATACATAAGCAGTAGGCTTGCATTACAGATTAACTGAAATCCTGCATACCGGATTTTGATCTGCCCACTTCCACAACTGAGAGAGCTCTTTATTTCCCATTCTCCATCTCGGCCTACTGTTGAATTTAGACAAATAAAGATAAAAAGGGATTAAGTATGTTTCTTAAAAATCTAAATGGACAGTGCAAACTCATTAAATATTTTATATGAAAAGTTACATTACAACAAACAGACCTAATGCTGCAGCAAGGTTGGCGAACAATTCCAAAATTTTATTTTGTAGGCAGTGGTATATGTCAGCGGAAAGACATGGAGCACAACTAATCATTTCATACGTATATTAGTCATTTCTTAAAAGTATGAAAACTCCTAATCGTCTAATTGATACATGCATATTAAGATTTTGTGGTTTCTATAAACTGTTTTGTATCCAATTCATAAAATATCCATGTCTGTTTTCAGAAGTAATGTGCAATAACTTAATTTCATTTCTCTATGAAATCACATAGATGATTTAGTTTATGGAATCCCATAAAATAATCATAGTGTGCTTTGGAGTATAAGGATTGAGAAACATAGATCCTTAAAAGGTTCTTGGCTGAAAAGTAAAAAATATAATCAGAACTCCATCATAATTACATGTAAAAAAAAACCTGCGTAATTTCAATTAAAATACAGCACCTTAATCTAGACTGTAAATTTTTTATTTTTCGTGCTCAGATGATAGCATATTATAAAATAACCAAAATACCCTTCACATTTGTATTACCAACTTTTTTTTATAAGGGTAGGTTTGTCTTTCTCAAACCCAATTCATCTGTCCATTAAAGTTAAATAATCTCCACCACAATGTTTTTATCTACACTAGTTGGAAAGGAGACCTCCTCTCAAAACCACCCTAGCTTTTTCTTTTCTTTTTTTGCCCATTGGTTCTTCTTGTCTCTCTCACTCCAGTACTTGCAGCCCTCCTACTGAAAGTGTCGAGAAGTCTAGACGATTCTGAATACAGAAGTAATTTCCAAGTTCTTGTTCTGTTATGGAAAATTTCATGGAAATATCACTGAAATTTCGGAAGTTGCAATCACAGGAAGAATTATTATTCACCTCATGTTGCATCACCCAAAATTTTGACCCAAAAAGAACTAAAATATCAAATTGATTTGTCAATGCCTTCACCAAAAGTTTAGAATATAGTGATCTAAATAGGAGGCAAATCCGACTCACAAAACATACCCACACCAAAAAGAATTACTATGGCCAACACGAAATAACTAAAGCGGAATTGCCTAACAGGGGTAGAAAACAAAGGATGAGTTGTCTTTCTATCTGCTTATTCTTATTAAGACCTTACACAGTAAGGAAAAAAAAAGGTTCAATTTGTTTCTTGTTAAAGTAAAACACATTAAAAGGCATAATAGGACCCAAATAAACAACCAACAAGTTGCATACCGCTTTTTGGCTCCTTCTTGGACCGCTTTCTTCTCTGCTGGCTGCTTCTCAAATGGTGGACAACCATCACGTTTCCACCATACCTAAGCATATTTAAACACCAATTATGCTTAACAACAGTGATAACATTTTCTAAACAATAGTAACCAAGGCCGGACAGCACTCACCCAATTCTTTTCACGTTCTAATATATGCTCAATTTTATGAAGAAAATTCTCCCCCTTGGGTGGAGTCATTTCAAGCAGCTTTTTCACACGCTCCTCACAAGATTTTATTTCCTCTTTCTGAAATCAACGAGGAAAAGTTGTTTAGGAGACCCCATAGTATAGCACAGATATACTCAAGTAGACTTTATCATATCTTACAAAATTTTATGCATCTGACCATGTGCCAACTAAAGTAAATCTTCTTAACCAGAGAGTGAAAGGCATACCACACAAATTCATTCAGTTTTCGTGCTTAAAGTGATGTCCATAGGTAAGGATTCAAGTATTAACGAAGATAAGATAATATTCCTACTGCAACTGAAGTAGGAAACAAGATTGCTTCTAGGCATAGAAGCAAAAGACTGCCAAATCGAATTGCCCAGAGACCATCATACACTTCAAAAGAATACAATGAACTCGTTGAATTGCATGAGTAAATTAGCGAAATCACTCAACTCCAGACAAACTGATGTAGATGCCTGGTATGATATTACATTCATAAAAGTTATGGAAAGAATTCAGTTTTTAGTACTTTAATCCATCCTTGTTTCCAATCCCTAAATTTGGAGACAAAACAAACACAATACACCTAAGGCTTCTCAATTGTCCAACAAATATGTCGTCACAATAACCAATAATCCAATTTTCTACTGACACCTTTTACTATAAACAGAGCTGCCAACATAAAGTTTCTTTGTCAAGTTTAAAGAAGAAAATAAAAAAGGTTACAAAACTTAACAAGACACAATCACAGCACTAACCATGCTATCGGAAGGCAAATCTGTTTCACTCGTTCCAGGGGCCTACAAGCAAATAAGAGTTAGTAAGAACATTTACCATATTAAGTACTATCAATATTTTGGGGTGACAGATCAATTTGAAAGTTGAAAAAGGACATTAGAACTAGCCCAAAGGTCAAGGAGTTATGGTAATATTTCCCAGAATCAATATTAAGACCGTTTCAACTGCTACCTTCAGATAATCAAACAATATGAGGCACTGCACAAGAATATGACGTCGGAAACTCGGATCCTTCAACTGTGCCCACCAGAAAACAGGAAAAATAAAGATCTTAAATCAAAATAATGGTCCACTATAAAAATAAATCTAAGTCAGTCAACACTCCAGCATTACTAACCTCCAAACCCATTAGTTTACTGCTCGTAAGATATTTTATGCTGAAATTTGCCGCCTCCTCCTCCAAACTATTGGCATCTCCCTCTTCATCACTTAATGGTTGAGCTTCAAATGTATTCAGGACAACCTAAACAAGAAATTCAAGAAAATATTATTTGGCTGAGTAATGAAACAGAGAAAGAAAAACTGTTATACCATGAAGATCAAAAAAAGAATATATCAGAAGATAATTATTATACCATTAAACCAGATGTAAATTTCTTCCACTTGGTAGGAGCAAGAGTTAAGGAAGGAGGGTTACAAAAGTGTTCCTGAAAACCCAACCAGACCAGTTTCTCAGCAAATATAATGTGAGATACCACCTATCCAAGTTAACTAAAACAACTCCAGGCTGAAGCTTTCCAAACAGACATTAACATTGAGCCTATTTGAGAGCTCTAATATAACTAGTACTGAAACTTTAATAAAACATCAATATCCTGCTGACAACCAAGATGAAAAAATCGGTACCTGTGGAAATATAATCTAGACGTATGGAAATGTTGATGATGGAAATATAAAAAATCAACAAAAATCAACAAAAATTACAGAAAATTGCTTTAAACATAAAAGTTTTGAATGTAACTTTAGGAAATGCCATGTCAATCAATAATACATTAATTAAACATGTAAAATTCATAAGATAGTATATCAATGATAAACTTATGGCGCAAGGCAAAAACAATTTTCACTGACTCGTATGACCTTAAAACCAATCAATATAAAAAAATCATCACCTTAGCTCTCTCTCTCTCTCTCTCTCTCTCTCTCTCTAAATTAAACCCATTTCTTACAACCGACAATGTATTTGCTTCATTGTACGAACTTTTTTTTCGTAAACTATATGAACACTACTTAGTGAGAGTATGCATAAGCATGGACATTTGGAGCCATTGGATTGCTAAGAGTTTAAATAAGAACAACGCATCTAGCAATCCAACAACTCTGACATCCATGCTTATGCATGCTCACTTTTTTAATGCTCATAAGAGAATTTGTCCTATAAATAGGCAATTCTGGAAAACTCAAAAATAAAAATAAAAAGGAAATGAAACAGAAAAAGAAAAAAATTTACCTAGTTAGCTTAGAATTCGGGCAAAATGATAATACATAATCTTATAAGTGAAATGCCAAGCCCATCAAAACTGAGAACCTTGTATGTAATCTCTCTCTCTATTCTTAATCTGATTTTATCGAACACAGATTGGCATAAATAGTGGTTTAATATTCTGATGCACAGTTTCATGAACGCTAAACTAAAACAAGTTTTAAAATTATTTACATTTCCATGTGAAAAGTCGGTAACAATTGAAAGAATCATTGAAATTTTTTTGCCCCACATAACATAATTGTTAGCAATAGAAAATATTATGTTAGTAATTCGGTGATGCCAAAAGTATAGGGATGCTAATCTTTTTGTCTTTTTATGACAGGAAACAAAAATTCTGTCAATAAAGCAAACAGAAAATACAAATTAAGGAGAGTACAGTGATGGAAAATTTTATTAATGGGGACCATAATAAAGAGGACTATACAGGATACGACAAGACTTGATATGGGGATATTGAAAATCTCCAAAACCTAGGATAAAGTAATAATAATATAATTAAACCAAATCTCCAACACCATATCCTAATCTTTGAACATGGGGAATGGGGATTGTTTCAACCAGGCAATTCACAAAAGAATTTATAGGCAAACTAGAGAGGTTTCTTTAGCATAATGATATCTGTTTACAAGAAGAATTACACAAACAAAATCTGAGTATTGAGTTAAATGACTTTGAAAACCATATAACAATAGCATTATATATGGACACTCTCTAAGTTCAAAACTTAAATCAAAATGGAGAGGAAAGCATAATTCTAACCCCTAGGCCCTTTTTTATGTCATAATTTATCCTTCCAAGTGACCAAGTTTACCTGTAAACTCCAAAATGTCTTGTAGAAGTTGAAATCGATGGAAATTCCTGAAAAACGTAAAACATTAAAATATATCCTTAAGATACCTACATTCACAAGAAATGCTATATAAACTATATACAATCATATTATATATATGTAGACGTAAAAGTTAAGATATCAAGCAACTGCCTAGCAAGGATATACCATCAGGGGGGTCTTTCTCATATTTTGTCTCGTTTGATGTGTTAAAAACTCCTTTTATATTCACAGCTGCGAGCGTTAATCAGAAGAGCAACAAAATTACTTAAAAGAACAAGTGAACAGCAGGGTTCAGAGAAATTAAACTAAAAGTGAAGACAACGGTTGAAGACAAGCAGGTACCTGAACGCTCAGATAATGGGAAAAAATGAGCCAAAAACATTAGAATTCGTCCACAAAATACCACATCATTTGCCTGTAAGTCAAGTTCAAAGACATTAGTACGAAACAAGACTACAACAATAAGTTTTGCAAGTGAAATTTTATTATCAAAGTAGTTACAGTTTACTTTTATCAAATAGTGAACAATAAGATGTGTAGCTAAAACACTTATTTAAAATCATTATTATTTCAAAAATCAAAACAAAAAACAAAAACATCAGCATGAGTTTACACCACATTTTTCAATTTACAGTCTTCCCATTTACAGACATAATTCTCAGACCAGAACCATATTCTCACCATATTTCATAAAAATATTTGCTTGCATAACTGAACGCTAGTTATGCTGTTCCTTCAGTGTTTTCTAGAAGAGTTTCTCCATAAAAAGTAAGATTCTTTGGGCACGAATACCCTTTACATTTATCACACCATGTAATCTATTAAATTAGTGTCTAACAAAGGCAGCTTTTCAATCCACAAACAGTGCCGCATAAAGTAAATGCCAAAAATAGCAATCCTCATTTATGAACTAAAAACTGAAATCTGAAAAATAGAGCAGAGCAGCAAGAATAATGAATGCAACTTCTAAATTTGGTAAGGTTTCAATATTAATTCAAGGTCAATCACAATGCACCATCCTGAAGTTTACAATGTCAAATATGCGCATACCATCACAAGTTTTGAGTATAATACAGATCAAACTGAGCACCAGTTAGTTAATTATAAACATTACAAAAAAGATGTGGCTTTTGAACGGCATGGATATACAATTTACTGTTTGAAAAGCAAACAAAAATCCCAATATAGGGAAAATTTTACAAAATGAAAGTAGACTGTAATCCAGTGATGACTACTATGATTAGTAACACCACCTTTGACAGGCGACGAAGAAGTTGATTGCATGTTCTCAACATCACAAGTTTTCCTCGAGCAAAAAGCTCTGGCTGCATGTGAGGATCCATATAGATTAAAATAGATTGCAAATAGAGATAATCAAAAACTTTAAAAATGAAATACAAAACCAAAACGAAAAAAAAAAAACAAACAATATAAATCTTTTGACATTTTAAATACACAAACCTTTCCTAATATATCTTGTTTACTCTCTATATAACCAAAAACGTCTTTGCAGTTTCTCATAGTAGACATTTCTGTTAAGTCTTCCAACAGCTGAAATATCATGCCGCCTTCAATGTGTTCGTTCTCACAAAGATACAACACAATATCTGGTGCACAAAAAGATAACAGAACTTTAAGAGAGAGAGTGATGTAGGCTATAAGACTCATTAATTTTCTTCTTGATCAAAACAATTTTTACAAGCATTTAGCCATTGAATAGCTCTTATAATCCAAATAGCTAATCTACAGGCTTACTGTTCTATTAGACGATATACAGTTCAACATTTGAAAATCGAAAGTCATACAGAATTTTGTCAAAAATAATTTTAGGTGCGATCTAAATGTCAAAAGGTAAACCCCAAAAATTAACAGCGCAAATAAAAATTCTTATATAGAAACAACATAAATGTAGTTTTTAGATCTTTATATCACTGATTCACAAGTTTTGGCTTATCAGAACCGTACTTTTTACAAAAAGGTTCCAAATATTACAGAAATTGAATACACGATTCTTTGAAAAAGGAAGTCAACAGCATTTGATACAACCAACTGAGTGCTTAATAAAAGTTTAACAAGGATATGTACAGACCAAGAAGACGTGGAATATGTCCTTGGGTAGTTTCTCCATCATCAATTGATTGACCATACTGCATTATCTGCTCCCCAGACTGTACTGCAGAAGACTGTGAAAATATCAAGTTACCAAGCATAAAACACAACTTCTATGTTGATGTCTTAAATGTAAGGAGGGTTCAGGTTGATGGGGAGATCTAATATTTATAATCTTCAAAACAAAAGTAACAAAATTTGCCACATCAACTGCAGAATGCTCTACTTCACAAAGCCAAGTTGAAATATCCATCATTACAAATTTCCATATTCAAATTCGAATCATATTCCTGTGATGAAGGGGTGTCTAATAAAACACTAAGCCCAAATGCTCATGAATCCTGTTAGATCAGCCCATGGGTTATCAGAAGTCCACCTTACATTTGTCATGCTTCTTTTGCTTCGTTAATAGTCATATGCATATTATTACTTTAACCAATCCCTAGTTACAAGTCATTTAAAAGTTGAGTGGTTCATATGCCATTCTAATGATCTTGGATGGCCAGATTTAATAAAAACATATGCAAAAAAAGGAAAGAGAGTGATGCAACACATTACGGGCGAAAACAGAAAGAACGCAAAAAGCACAACTGCCCTGGATCCTACCAAGAATAGCCAAAACAAAGGACTCTGTATGTAATCATGGTGATTGCACATAATAAAGATTTTTTTTTTTTTAAATAAAGGAAATCTGGACAAACCGCTCTGTCAAATTTTTTAATTACCAATCAACCATTTTTATAGGTTTAAAAAGTCAGGCACCAAGAATACTCGGGCAAAAAGAAAACTAATAAAAACAAATCTAATATGTCAAAGTGATACTTGAGCCATGTTTGGTGGTACAAAAAAAAATTAAGGATAGAAAACAGATGGCTGAGATGAGGCATATAATTGAAGATTGCTGCAGGTTGTGCGACAATTCTGGGAATGTGGAAGCCCGTGAGGATTCAGGGAAAGTTCCATGAACCCTGAAATATACTAAAAGGTGACTTTGAGCATCACCATCAGCGCTCAACAGAGTAATCAAATTATAATACCCAGCCAATCAAGATGAACTTAACACAAAGAAATATCCCTAAAATATTTTGGCAATAAAGCCTACAAAATGCTCAAATTCTAGTTCTTTCTATTTAAAGTCCATTTCCTCGACCTATCTGCAAAGACTACCCGGTCTTCCGACCAATCAATCCAGAGGTATGACAACATTATGCATCTCCAAAGAGTAGGTACGTTCCTATTGTTAGGATTTTGGCTCGTCAAATATGTCCTAGTTGGTTTAGGATTGTTTTAAGAAAATTAGAGGTATACCAATTCTTGTCCTAGAGGGATTAGGAAAGAATTTCAGTTTTCCTTATTCAATTTAGGTTTGGATTTCTATAAGTCTATTAGGATTTGGATAAGTGTAATTTCCTAATCCACTTAGGAATAGGAATTCAATCAGCCTTGGGACATGTAAGCCAACTCTATATCTATAAATAGGGTGCGGCAGGGCTTATTTTACAGCAAGGAAAAACAGCCAGAGACAGCCAAGAGTTTTGAGATTAGTTCCAAGGTTGCAAAAGTTCTATAATCTCTATTATTAATCAAAGGAGAGAAATCACAACTGGACGTAGGCAAAAGTTCTGCCGAACTAGTATAATTCTTGTGTGTTTCTAAGTTTTTCTAATATTTGCTAGTTTAGTCTATTGCCGTTGGTTACATTAAAGAACAAGATCTAGAAGGCGGGTTATTGAACACCTATCAGCCCTAAAACCCAAATAATCCACCAACCAGACACAATTCCAAACCCTAGCAGCATCCTGACCCAAATTTTTTTTTTGGTCAAAACCCAAAGTTGTGAAGTAAAAAGGACAATGTAGAAACACAGGATCAACACTATTTGCTTCTTGTTTGGACAGACTACACCACTGTGAAGTCAATAAGCAAAGGGTCTTCTTTTTTGAGCACATCACAAGCATTAATTTACCCATGGACCACAAACCGCGCTAAAATATGCAGAATAAAGTAGAAATACAGTAGTCTACAAGTACAATCAAACAATCAAAGCATCCTGTGAACAAGTACCAGCAAGAGAAACATACCACCAGTTCCTGAAGCAATGTCCGGAGGATATTTTCTAACAATTGATTCTCATCTTGGACTAACTTTGTCTGTTTCTGTCATGAAGAAATCAGTTGGCCTAATTAGAATTAACCAAACATCGACATCCAAAAGGCTAAAGTTTCATATGTTTGACTTGTTGTTAGATGTATCACGATAATTGTACATGTCATCATGTGCAATCAGGATGTATGTGAAGAAAGCAATGCAATGATGACTACAGCCCACCAAGGATCAAGCATTGAATCAAGTGAAACACTAATCGGTAAATTAGCAATTGGAGTTATAGGACAAAGGTAACAAAACATGTGTATCCAAATGTAGCCAGAGACTGAAATCATACTTGTGTTTCAGTTTTCAGGCACAAAACCATAAATCACTATACATGCATTTACACGAAGATTCGACTTATCAAAATCTTTTTTATTGGGTACCACATAATATTGTTAAAACTTAACCCTGAACATGAGGGATCTAATGGGTTACCTGAGGTTTTATAACTCGTTGAACTGTCTGTAGAGCAAAACTTTCTGGTGGGCCAGGTTGCAATATGGCCCTCCTGAACACTTCCTGAGAAAAAAAACAGAAAGAACAACTTAATCATATCTAACACAGAAGACAAAATAACAATAACACTTATAATTATGAAGAAAAAGAAGCTAACCATGTTGAAGACCTCAACCAAACAGCGAGTGTGAAGCCAATGACAAACAAAGCCTTCCCAAAAGCTCAATCACAATGAATTGAAACTTTCTCTGCAGCAGAAAGAAATAAAAATAAAAAACATCGTCAAAAATTTTGTTTGAACCAACAGTGATATTTGGAACTGTATGCTAGCATTTAAAAAGCAGTTGGTTATATTTTCTACATCAATAACAAAAGAAATTGACCTACTTTCAAATGCTAGGTTTTGAAAGGCGTTGCCTAGGCGCGTCGATGCGAGGCGGCAAAAATTTAGCTCAGGGATCCCGTTGTTTAGCTGTTTGCAAACTTAATGTTCGCGCTGCCGGCGAGGCGTACGGAGGCGCCGGTTTCTGGCTGTGTGAGGCGCAGCTGCAGGAGGAGAAGAGAGCACGCGTGTTTATTTCCGTTTAGGTTTTCGCTATGGGACGACGTCGTATCATCTTTGGGCTTCATATTACATTTGGAACGCACGCTAGCAAGCCCTTTTCTTCTCATCTATTCAGGCAAACAACTCGTTTGGGAGTGCTTTTTCTTGAAGTGCTTATGCTAGTAGCGCTTATGTCAGTATCGCTTCTACAAAGAAGTAGTTTGTCGTTTGGATGTCACATTTAAAGGTGTTTTACACTATATAAAAACACTTTTGATATTTTGTTGAGTGTTTGGCTAACACAGTAAAAGCGCTTTTAAAAGTACTTAAAAAAATGTAAAGAATCTCAAAATATTATAATAAATATAAAAAAGAGGGAAAAAAAAAAGGAAGGGTATTTTGGCATTTTAAAAATTAAATATGGGTATTTTCGGCATTTTAAAAGTTTCATTAAAGAGAGTCAAGTGCTTCCCTTGTTTTTTATCCTGCAGCGCTTTTAAGAAGAAGCACCTCTCAAGTGCTTCTTCCAAAACTACTCCAAGTGCTTTTGGATCTCACCCAAAGCGCTTTTGCAATTTTTGCCAAACACCATTTTTTAAAGACAGAAGCGCTTTCACCCATTTAGAAACGTTTTTAGCTGATCCAAAAGCACTCCCAAACGAGCCATGTGGAAGAGGGGATTTATGAAATCGAGAGAATGGTAAAATGAGAACATCATATGAGAATCTATCACAGTCATCCAAAGTCACCTGAGTAGCTGAAGAGAAAAAACAAGCTCATAATATAAACAGGTACACTGCATTTTCTCTTTAGCTCACGTGCCTTGCCGCACCTTTTCCAATTCCCCCACCTTTGAATTCAAATTTTTTTTTCAGACTCCATTTTGTTCATCTTAAAAAGATTCTCCTCCCAATATAATCTCCTATTTTCTATGGTCAGAATCAATACGTTTCTCTCGAATTCCCTCTCTTTCTCTCTTTGATATTAAGGTTTGCTTTTTCTATTACATTCACTTAGGGGCCGTTCGATAACATTTTCAAGGCCTCGTTTTCATTTTCTACCAAAAACTCTTTTGGTATGTTGTTTTCATTTTCAATGGAATTGTGTTTTTATTTTCTACTTAATGTATTGGTCTGATTGCTTTGCTCTTTTTTTTCTTTTTTTTTTAGGTTGGTCAATTTTTTTTTTCATTTGTACTTTTTTTTTTCAATTTTCAGTTTTTTTCGTTCCCCTTCATTATTTTATTTTGCTACGCCAGTGTATATTAATTTTATGATAAAACTATCATATATTATTCAAATTTATATTTAGGAATAACTACACTTTAGTCCCTGGATGTTTAGTATCAGTATTGAAATAGGCCCCAAGGTTTCAAGTAAATCAATTTCATACCCGACATTTCAAAGTATTACCAATTTACACCCATCGTTACATTGACTGTCAAAGTCAGACATTAAATGCTGACGTGGCAGTCGTGGGACCCACATCATAACCAAACAGTAGTTAGAAAAAGACAAGACGAAAGGCAATTTCAAACCAAAAAAAAAAAAAAAAAAACCTCAACTGGGCACACGTTCCAAGGCATCGCTCCAATAACCCAAGGCTTGGACAACGAAATCGAACTAACTACTCGGTCTTGTTTTGGAGAGATTTTGATAAATAAAAAAAAATAAAAAAAAAGAGAAATGAAAAAAGTGGAGAGGAAACTCGCGAAGAAGATCCGATTGGTTGCCTGGAATGGATGAAAAGGTGTTGATATGTTTGTGTGGCAAGGCTGCTACAATTTGAACCTCTTGGATAGATTCGAATCCTGGGAGGCGATTTTCCATGTGTGCAGCAAAGGTACGTGAGACTAAGAAGGGTTTTCAAGGTTGTTAGTTCTGGGCACGGTTTGATTTGGCCATGTGTGAACTATCAAAGGTAGTGATTCCTGGGCTTCTAAAGTCGTGGAATAAGCTGGACAAATCAGTAGCAAAGGCAAGACAAAGAGAAAAGGTCGTTTGGGTGTTGTTGGTGGCTTTGTGGGTTCTATTTGCAAGCTTCATTTTGAAAGGGATGTATGGATCTGGAGTGAACAAAAAGAGGAGCTTCGAATTAGCTTCTGCCATTAAATGAATTGTTTGTGCGTTGTTTGTGTGATTCTGTAAGGGTTGGGTTGTTAGTGGCATTTTGTAATGGTTAAATTGTTATGTAAGGGTTAAGGGTTATGAGTAAGGGTTAAGGGTTAAGGGTTTAATTGCTGACTTTTTATAACTTGATGAAGTGAATGGAATGACAAAATTTGCAGAGAATTTCATCTAAATGAAGTGAATGGTCATCATAAAGAGTATGCAAATGAAGTGAATGGCATTCTAAATCTATGTGCTAGTGAAATTATGCAAAGGAATGCCAAAAACAATGTAAAGGGAAGTTAGAAAATGGATGCACCTGGAACAATCAAGTGAATGGCCAAAATAATGAAGTGAAATGCCAAAACAATCAAGTGAATTGGCAAAATAATCGATTGAAGTGCCAACCCAAAAACTTCAAAAATTCTGCATTCAAAATGGGCTCAAAATAGCCAAATAATAACATTGACAATTACATATTTGATGTCCTTTCAAATTCATTCCAAAATGGTAGTTTTCAGTGGATGTATTTGCATTCACAGTGGTTGACGCTTATGTGAATGCCATTACATCCATAAAAAAAAGTCAGTAATTAAGTTATACATAACCAATTTATCAAAAACAAAAACCTCCTAATCACAAACTGTCAGTCTAACAAAAAAGAGTGAGTCATCAAATTCCTTTTTCAGTTAACTTCAATTTACAACATTTGATCCTACAGCTGAAACAGAAGTTGATGCATATGGACATGAAGTTGAGACTGGTTGTGCTTCAGAAGTGGCATGTCCTTTCTTACTTGGTTTTGGCTGCACAATGTTTAGGATGTTAACATTTTATTTGGAATTTGAAGAAAATTGATAATAAACATCATAAAGAGAAGTTAGTTACCAGAGGTTTCCCTTTTTGCACATGCCTTAGAGGTGTAGGGGTCTTTTTATTCCAGCAGCCTAACAAATGGGCTTGGGCTGCCGTAAAGAAGAAACGAGTAAAGTTGCCCCTTGTATTCTGAGTTCGAGGACCAAGCTCCAAAAGAGCTTTGAAAAGTTTGTGAGAACCTTAGAAAACACCCTAGATTCCTTTCACCAGTAAGCCAAATGAATGTGACATATTAATAATATGGCTTGCTTAAGGAGCTTGCGGCATGGAAGCTAAGCCTTCGCTAGTTTAGCAATTAAGAGAAACAGCTTGAATTTCTTACATAAACAAAGGCTAAGAGTATGGGAGAGAGTAAACTGGGAAGATTTTGACTATAGAAGATGGACAGTGATGGGAATGGATAATGGCGTGTCGTGCTTGATCTACCATGCTTGACAAAGCTTGGTCGCACTCTGGATGATGATTTTGCTAGGTAGAAGAAGCCTCCTTTTATAGGCACTTTGACCCCTTAATCTTATCAGAACTCTTTCTTGCTTTTCCTTCACTTTCTTCCATTCACTCTTATTTGGTGAAATTTCCCTAACCAGAGCACATAGGTAATAAGTCCTTTGGGGTTCCAAGATTTTTACACAGCTGGACCTCTCCATGTGGGTGAGGAGCCACTCGCTTTTCTTCTTGGTTTTCCTATTAAAGCTCACAGAGGAAAGGAGAATGGATAGAGCATTTGCCTAATGGGTATTCCTCATACACGTATGAATTTCCTTTGGTTTTTGCAATGGCTTCACGTTGACTCTGTTATGAAGCTTTAACAAGGGCTTAACACAATGCTAAATATTTTATTAGATACTGAGCTAGGCTTTTCCTAAGGCATTGGGTCATTGGCCTCTTATTTTCAGTAGTCAGCTAAGCCTTCTATGGTTTCGTCAAGCTGCTAGAAGTGGCTTATTTGCTCTTTTTTTTTTTTTTTTTTACGGGGGTTTGATGCCTTTGGTTGTGTGGGGGTTTTTTTAATTTTGCGAACCCCT